GCCCTAAACCCAAAACCCTCTAGTGAAGCAGACAATGAGGCTCTGACTTTGGGTTGTCTGGAAACAGGCAGTTAGTCTAATAGGGGCCTTAACAATTACCCACATTCTTTTTGGGGTTCCTTGTGATAGTTATAGTATAATGGGCCCCTACATGAGACTACATGACAGTGTATTTGCGCTGTCGGCTTGTTGACTCATTTTCCCCTGTTTGGTGTTGCTTGTCATCCTTTAATTAAACCCTAAAACAGTATCGTAAACTGCTCAGTGTCTTTCCGGAGCGAGCTTCCAGGGAGTGTTTTTGGAGCTGGGGCTTAGAGTTTTGGACTCAGGTCTAGGGTGCCTGTGTCACGCTGTGGTGGCTTACTGCGAACACTGTTTTAGACTTAGGCATGCCTTTCCGGCATCTGTTTTTGGGCATGCTCTGCGCTGCTGGGGAATCCTCTTCAGATGTTTCAATCCTTTCTCAGACGTTTCTCTGCTTTCTTGCTTTTTGGTGCTTTCTTTGGTAAATGCACCCTAATCCCCAAGCCCACAACCTCGAACCCTATATCCGAAACCCAAAACCCTCTGACTGCAGACTGCAGAACCCTAAACCCTAAACCTCAACCGCCTAAACTCTTAAAGGTTGTGTCCTTCCTCTTGGAGATCATCGCAAAGCTGCGTGGCTGCAGCGGAGAGCTTCTCGGGACCCGACCCGGAGTTGGGTTCGTATGTTGCCGGCTAGCGAGTCCTATTGTCATCCGTATCGAAACGGTAATCCTTGTCCTAACCTTATAGCAACCTTAAAGTTAACTAAGGCAGGAGTTTGGTGAAGTCTAAGCGACGTGATTATGTACGAAGCTTGAGCTGGCTCATCGCGGGTGCATGTGAAGGAGGTTTGTTGAACCTACGATGTACATGCCAAGCAGAAAAGACATCACCATTACCATCATCACCCAGTACCATCATCGCCATCATCACTAGAAGTAGTCCTAGAGTCAGCATCATCGTCCTCATCGTTATGGTTGTCACCAGCGCCCGCATCGTTCGCACTAGCAGACTGGATAAGGTACGGGCTCAAGATGACGAAGGCTTACATGCACCACGTGCTGCTGGATGATGTTGGCACCTCAACTAGAAATGAGCCCAGGCGGAAGCATGGCCAGGATCCACTTAAGCATATTGACTATATCTGTACATATATATATATATATATATGTGTATATATATATAAGATATACCATATGTGTATGTATATGTATATGTCATATGTATATGTCATGAATGCGTGTATGTCATATGTATATGTAGACGTATATATATATATATATATACATATATATATATACACACACATATATATATATATATATATATATATATATCTGTGTGTGTATGTATCCATATATATATATACACATACACGTGGTCCTGCCCTCTGTTACTTGTGGAGTGCTAACATGACTTGTTTTTTTTTTTGTTGCTTGTTTTGTCTTTTTGCTGATGCCTCTGCCGTTCCAACCATGAAATTGTTGTTGTCATGTTGTCCGTCTCGGCGCTGTTCTTCGATTTTTATGGGTGTCCGTCCTTATGTGTGTAGCCTATGGTTATACTTCCCGCCGTGCTTGTGTGGCTGTGCTGGCAGCAGGTTCTGCATGTTTCTGTTCTCATGACATATGTTAATCAGATTCTTCTTTTCTCCTGTAAGATTTGTTCGTGCCTCATGCCACTGCTCATTCTGTCCGTTGTTGTGACACGGAACCCTGAACCCTAAAGTCATCGTTGGTATCAGTATCCAGTGAGACTTTCAGATGTTTTACGCAGCGAGTCAGACAGGTCAGCCAAAACCTACATCCTAAACGAAACACCCCAAACCCTAAACCTAGACCCAAAGCCCTTAACCCCAAACCCTAAATCCCAAGCCCGAAACCCGAAGGCATCATGCCCATAATGTCTGCGACGGTCCTGATGCCGGGCCTTCATCCTAAGGCTCGGAGCGGGCAGCGTCCCAACTCTGGGTTTAAGAAAGGGTTTAGGGTTTAGTTGCAAAGCAGAGAGCTTGATCACACATTACTTATTGTTTTTTTGCATTGCAGCGGATAGCAGAGTCCACAGACGCATCCCACAAATCATGCATAGAATTCAATGGAAGCGACAACACGGCTTCGCGCCTCGCACGTGTTATGCGGCTATATGGATTCAAGGTTTAAGGATTTGGGGTTTAGGGTTTTAGGTTTATCGGTTCGGGATTTACGGCCTTGGGGGTTAGGGGGTTCAGCACTGGCTTTGAGGGAGCGGGGGGGGGGGGGGGGGCGAGACCCCTTTGGGTACACTGTGTAGCTATAGGATTGAGGGTTTAGGTCTTGAGGGCCTTGAGGGCCTTTAGGGCTTAACTAGCAAGGAATGCTCTGTGGCTTCAGCTTCAGTTTGCAAACATTAGAATTAAACAGGCAGAGTGCAGCATAGGCTTCAACTAGACCTGGGATTCCATAGGTTTCCGTCGTATAACTAGATGATACTACACCCTCAAACCCTATTCTCATTATGAAGGCGCCCCCCCCACATTCAACCCTATTTGCAACCCTTGCAGCACCGCATGGCGCTGTTGGTTGCAGAGCTGTATCGCCTGCTAACCTACCGTAAGCAGAATGGAAGAACGTAGTATGTGGCGACAGACTCTGGAAGCATTAGAGTACTCTTCCTTAACGTTTTACATAAAAAACGCAAACTTACGTGCATACATATACATATATATATACATATTATATGTTTGTAACGTACCACAAATGACACTATGCGGAGAAGGATACGATCCGAATACAGTGGTTTCTTGAGGGACCCTTCTTAACGCAAGACGGAAATAGAGGCTTTGATAATCAGAATAGGGTTCCTCTATGGGTTCTGTTATCATAAGGGTATCCTGAGTCTAACCGAACAGCACTGGCAACCCACGTGTTCGAAAACCTGAGCCCCGATGTGTGTTTACCCTTCATCCTGAAGTTTCTGAAGCCTGAGCCCATCTAAATGAAGCCTAAACCCATCGAATCCCCAACGTCTGAATCCAAAAATATGGTGCCTTTTTTTCGCGCCGTTTGCTAGGTGAGGCAGTTCGCTGTGCTGCCACTCTTCCTGACGGCCGGGACTCTTCTGCGCTCTCCGTCGTTTTCGTAACGCTGTTGTCTGGGGTGGAGGGTTTCATCATCATCATCATCATCATCATCATCATCATCATCTCGCAATGGTTATCAGAATTGTGATAGTGAGACGAATCTAGTAGCAATGAGGCAGAGTATGAATTAAGATAGTGATTGCACTCATTTTTGCCGACTGGCCATAGGAAGAACCTATGCTAGCTGGTGGCTGTGTGCAGGGTGCCATCGGCGGTAATAGTACTAGCAAGGAACAGTCCTAGCAATGAGGCACTGACTGCCGGGCTTGGGGTTTAGGGTTTTAGGGTTTAGGGCTTGGGGTTTAGGGTTTGGGGGTTTAGGGTTTAGGGCTTTGTTAAGGTTTAGTGTTTGGGGTTTGGGGCATGGAAGACTCGTCTAGGTCTCCAAACCTCGTGCAGTCTGCAAGAAGGGAAGGGATCATGTTCGAGTTTTTGTTTCTGTTTCGGGTCTGAGGCTTAGGTCCCAAGGTTTGAGGTTTAGGTGTTTCATTGTTACAGTTTAGGGTTTAGGGTTTAGGGGCAGTAGAATTCAACCCTTTAGGCTTCCAGCCTGAAAGCCTTAAGCCTGTCCAAGCAAGCTACACTTTTGTGAAGCCCTTCTAGTACCCGAAGCATACCCCCTAGTGGCAGAGAGGCTACACCTTGGGTACGATATTAGGACCTTGATAGTAGCCCTATTGCAAACTCTTACTGTATGGGGGCAGTACCTAAGCTAAACCCTAAACCCTAGACCCTACACCCTTTTTCAGCTTCTTCGCATCTTGCCGGGCATGTCTGAAAGGCGCTTCTCAGCTTCGCTCAGATCTGCAAGTTCCACAAGAAGTGCCTCAGCTCTTTGAGGGTGCAGGAGGGGCCCTGGGGTCGTCTAAGGGGGTTTCGGGGTACCCTAAAAGGGATCCTAATTGGGGCTATGGCAGTTTTAACTCTATAAAAAGAAGTACTCTAGTTTAGGGTTTAGGGTTTGCTTTGGAGGTTTGGGGTGGAGGTCTTTTGGGCCGGAGCTTGAACGGTTCCTCCAAAGTTTGCGCGCCAACCCAAAACTCCCAAACCCTCATTCTCAAACCCTGAACCAGGACTTGGGTGCTTTTTCTGGGCCAAAACAATTCCCAATGTTTTTCCTGACGGTTCCGTAGCATAGTTATATTACGACCCCTAATTTTAAAACCCTATTTTAGATTCCCGTTCTTGAGCCCTTTTAGGATTCCCCTAAAGGAGCTCTTCTAACCACTAGGCCCCTTAGCCAAGGCTACCGGGCTTCGCGGTGGCCTCGGCCAAGCTGCAACGAGACCCTGCCGTCCGTTGGGATGGCTTTAGTTTGGCTAAGGTTGGGGTTTCGGAGTGTAGGCCTAAAGCCCTGAAGCCCTAAACCCTTAAACGCTACGCCCCAAAGCCTCAACATTCAAGCTTGGGTCTTTCGGCTTGCAGGTTTTCTAGCTTTGAGCTGGCATGTGGCTGAAATCGGCTCGGCAGGATGCAAAAATGAAGTAAAGGAGCAAGATCGAGCGTGCCCGCTGCCTGTTGAGGCTCATCCTGAGCATGCAATATAGAGGCTTAGATTCATCAGTACTTCCAAAGTTTCTCATGGTACTTGTTTCTGTCATGCCTCCAAACCCTGTAGCCTGTAGCTGTTACTAAGGTCCTACCTTATCGCCCAAGGCCGCCTTCCTTCCGCCAATCGGAGACCTTCATATCCCAAAATCCTGAAACATGACCCCGAGACCCCAAACCCTAAGCCTTTAAACTTAAGACCCAACCCCAAGCCTTCAGCCCTAAACTAGGCGCTAGACGCTATGCCCGGATCCTCCCAAATCGTCATCATCGTCATCTCAGCACTGAGTGTGGATGCCTTGGGATGGGAGCCCCGCTGGAGAAGGTCCGCCGTTGGGTGGATTTAGGGTTTAGGGGTTTCGGAGTTTCGGGTTTAGGGTTAAAGGGCTTAGGGCCTTAAGAGGGTTTAGGGCTTAGGGAGGGGGAAGGCCTCTTTCATGGCTTTCTTCCTGTGGTGTTCAGGGTTTTTAGGTCCTTTAGCATGTAGGGTTGGTTTCAGGGCTTTGGGGCTTTCAGCCTCAAGGGCTTAAGGGTGTAGGATGTGGAGTTCAGGGTTCATAGCTTAGGGAATTCGGGTCGGGGCCATGGTCGGAGGCTCTGCCGGGTTCGAGTTTGGTGTTTGCCGCTTTGGATTTGGGTTCATGTCTCCCACAGCTCTTCAGTTCTTTTGAATCCAAGCCCGACAGACCCTAAGGCCCAAAATCCCAAGCCCTTAACCCTAAACTTGAAGCCCTAAACCCCATATCCTGATCTGTGATAGTGCAAGCCGGAAACCGGCTGGACCTCATGCAGAAAAGGCCCGATTGCACTTTTAAAAAAGAACCCAAATCCTAATTGTCGAAACTTTAATCCGAAAGCCTATAAGCCTTCTCCTGGAGGTCTACCGCTACTTCGGCCTTCCGGTTCGCGTGCGACAGGTCCTCGATGTGCAGAGCATCGGCGAGATCCTGGGACGGGATACTGCTGTAGGAGGTTCATGGATAGTTATAAGTGGGGTTATATCTAAAGCAACTATACTTATAACCCTTATTACGGGACTTATAAACCCCACTTACAACTACCGATGAACCTCCAAGTAGAGTTTGCGTTTCCCGTTCTGCAGTGATGAGAGGAAGACGAATGTAGGAACCTGATTAAGAAACCAGGGGCCTGTATCCCCAAAATAGTAGGATACATATAAGGAGCCCTTATAAAGGCGCAAGGTTTCTTAATCAGGTTCCTACATTCGTCGGAGCAGTAAGACGGGGGAGCAACAGAGTTTTGTAGGACCCTAAACCCTAAACCCTAAACCCCTTAACTCGCATGGCACGGGCCAGTTCTATCGGCCACTTCCTCGGGCCTTTATCACAAACATACCCTGGCTTCACCCCAAGTGCCCCTAAACCCTGCACCCGAAGCCCGAAACCTCTAAACTCGAAGTCGAAAGCTCTAAACTAAGCCCAGATCCTAAAGTCAGTGCAAGTTACACAGCTGCACCTGTTGTGGGCCCTAATGATTCAGTATGTATGGTGGGTACGACGGCGCTGCCCTGCGCCACAGCACCTTCGAGTGTTCAGAGTTTCAGAATAGCTTAGTGGACCCCGATTTAGAAACCAAGTTGGAAGATCCCTCAGAAAAGGCAGGCGGGAACGACGTTGTAAGGACACCTAATGGGCTACCCTTGGTACAGCAACTCCGAGCTGCGTCCTCCTCGTGGCCACCACGACAACTGCCTCCCCTTGAGTCATCGTGACGCCGTCCTATCAAGACGCAACCGTATACTCACAGGTGATTTTGAATGTTATGGGTTGTGGGTAGCAACATTCAGGACTGCAAGTAGCCGAGCCATGGCTCAGTTGCGTACATATAAATATAAATAGCATATATATATATATATACACACACGAACTCTCTCTCTCTCAGCCCTAGACCTTACACTCCAAGTCATGTAAGCCCCAAAATTTCCAAATCGCCACCCCCAAACCTTAGACCCTAAACTTCTTGTGAACCGCTAAACCCTTAAACCCCCAAGCCCTAAACCTAGACCCTAGACCCTGAGGCCCTAACCCCTTGTGAACCCCTAAACCCTGAAACCCCCAAGCCCTAAACCCCAGACCCGAAACCCTTAGACCCTTTCTAATCCCTAAGCTCCACCACCTAAACGTGGCAGCAAAGCCCCTATATCATAGTACCCTTATAGTAACCATTACAGGACCCTTGTAAAGGAATCTTTTAAAGAAGTCAAAAACCCGATTAAAATTATCAAGGCCCCTATATTATAGTACCCTACTACAGATCCCGGTAGAGCCCTTTCAGGAACCCTTAAAAGGGACCTTATTCTAATTACCCTAAACCCTAAACCCCTAAGCCCCTAAATCCTAGACCCCTAAGCCCCTAAACCCTAAACCCCTAAACCCTGGCAGCTCTCAAGGATAGACCGAGGATGCCTCTACTTCGTGCCCTGGCCCTCTTCCGAGTCCTCCTATCAGGCTGGGAAGGGCCTTTTTGGTTTAGGGTCTTAAGGTTTAAGGTTTAGAGTTAGGGGTTTAGGGCTTGAAGTTTAGGGAAGGGTGTTTAGGGTTTTGGGTTTCGGGAGGGTGTTTAGGGTTTTGGGTTTAGGGCTGCAAGTTTAGGGAAGGGTGTTTCGGGTTTAGGGCTTAAAGTTTAGGGGAAGGGTTTAGGGCCTAAAGTTTAGGGAAGGGTGTTTGGGGTTTTAGGCTGGCTTCTAGGGTGCAGCTGTTAGAATTAGGCCTTTAATGTTCAGGGGGTGAGGGTATCTGCGGGCCAGAGGTTTTCGGTCTGAAGGGGTTCAAGGTCAAGGTAAGGATACTAACCATAAGCCCAAAACCCTGACCCTGAACCTTGACAAGTCGTACACCCTAAACCTTCACCCTAAACCCTCAACCCAAGAAAGCAGGCGAGCTTTCGTGGTTCCTAGCAAGCCACGCGAGGCTGTTTCTTGCAGTTCCGAGGTTGCCAGCTCTGGGTGCGTAGGCGTCTTCCACAGTTTAAGGGCTTCGGGGCTGGTCCGGGGTTCCGGTTTTCTCACCTTTGGTTAGTAGGGAATGGAAGAATGGTAGTAATAGGAGTTATAATTGTACCACATTCCTGCATTCCCTACTCACCAAAGGTAAGTTTTGGGGACTTGTGTTTAGAGTTATTGGAGGCCGAGCTAGCGACATGGTTGTGCCGTCGTGCGAGTCTGTTGCACTGGCGGCCGCCCGTGCATCGCACGTGTTGTGTATGTGTGACGGCTACTTGGAGGTTTGTGGGTAGTTATAACGGGGGTTTATAAGTCCCTTAATAAGGGCTATAAGTACAGTTACCTTAATTATAGCCCCACTTATAACTACCCATGAACCTCCAAGCAGGGCAGCTTGAAGCAGCTCATACATGCCCGGGTGGGTTCATCGACAACTGTCTTGCCATCATGCTTGCAACTGCCGATGAAGCTTGAAGCAAATTCTCTCAGGGTCTAGTGTAGTACAGAGGTGTGAACGTGGTTGCATCCCTGTGTAGTCCCCACATGGTTATACTTTAGAAAACCCCACAACTTAGTTCTGATTGTAAAAGCCTTCGGCCCAATGCTGTCAGCGCGATGACACCCAAACGCCCAATAGATCCTCGTTTTCAGTTTAGGTTCTTGTGCTTTATTCCAGAAGCCTAGAACCCACAGCGCAAATCCGACTACTAAGCCAATGTAGGGGTCTGAATAGCTGGAAGTTTGGCAAGACATTTCCTTCGGTTCTGAAGCATCATCATATATCAGTATATTACAATGACGTTGATATTCCCCCAAACCCTAGTCGCACATCCGTATAAGAAATATATATGTAGCTCTTCAAAACCCTTTTTAACTCTTTATACCCATTACTGTAAGGACCCTTCACGAACAACCTTTTCCAAGGAACGCTCGTCTAATCATGAAGGCACCAATACGGTTGATGGTATAAATTCTGCATTACCCTAAGGACCCTAGACTATGGGATTTATGGTATATTCCTTATTATGGGTCATGCAGGATTTCTATCATCAACCGTCTCAGCTATGTCTTTGCGAGGAGGACCTGAGCGTCATCGCGAAGGAGCTGCCATTGTCTATCCGGGTGGAAGTGGCAGACTGGTACTTCATCCTCCCAGGTCCAGGTCCAAGATTGGGGTTTGGGGTTTAGGGTTCAGGGTTTAGGGTTTAGGGGTATCCTCTATTCCCAGGGTCGGTGTGTTTTGGGTTTTGGTTTCCATGAGAGGGTGCGTGGGGTTTGCGGATTTCTTTTTCTTGGGCTGCAGAGGTCTCGAAATTCTGGGGTTTGAGGGTGTTTCGGGTTCATATTACTTCTATCACGACGACGGCGACTACTACCTACCACTACTACTACTACTACTACTACTACTACTACTGCTGCTGCTGCTACTACTACTACTACTACTACTACTACTACTACTACTACTACTACTACTGCCTTTTCATCTGGTTGTGTCGACACCAGGTGGTCGCAGCTGGCCCGAATACCTGGAGACGCTGAAAGCAAGCCATGCCAAGAAGATTCGCAGGCACGAGGACTTAGGGGTGGGAGTTAGGGTTCAGGGTTTAGGGTTTTGGGGTTTTAGGGTTCTGGGTTTAGGGTGAGGGTTTTAGACTTAGGGGGCCGGAAGCAGCAGTAGAAATCCCGAAAGGGAACCATAAGCAGTGATGATTTTGGCGGAATCCGACTTCGGGGGTTGTCCCTGTTAGCCCAAGTTTACGCTTCCGTTTGCGTTTGGGCTACCTTTTTGCAGAGGCCGGTATAATTAGTAACAGCAATTCCTTTTGGTCCCCGCACCCCAAAACTCTTATGATTCAGGTACAGCAAGCAGCCCGAGAAATGTGGCTACCGAGCAGCTCGGTGTGAACTCGATCACAGCATTCAGGTTGACGGTCACGCATTCAGAGCCACGGCTCCTAGTGCTTCGGGTTTCAGGGTTCCAGCCCTTCATTTTAAGAGCTTTAGTCAACCCCTGTCCTAAATTCAAGGGCTCAAGCCTTAAACCACGCTCCTAGACCCTAAACTCCTAAAATTATATGTTCCCCGAGCCACAGACGCTACACCTGAAGCCCTAAGCCATAAACTCTAAACCTCAACCCCAAGCCATCAACTCTAAACCCTAAATCCACAAACACCCAAACTCCTAAGCACTCTAACTTGGGCCAGCCTAAACCCCAAACCCTCCAAACCCTAAACCCTGAACCCTAAACCCTAAACCCTCAGAAATCCTCAAAAGCCCGAGGTCAGCCTGGAAGATCCGAAGAACCTGGAGGCGGATGCGCTGGATCGGTGCTACGACCTGCTCTGTCAGACGATGCTCAAGAATGGCGATTCCCAGTTCTACACAAAGGATACTGAAGGGCTTCTAATAATTACCAAATACTATGGTGGGGGTTGCTTCTTTTTGAATATAGTTTATTATACCACAAACCCCTATTCTAATTATAAAGGCCCTTATATTAGGGTTCGAGGTTTAAGGGTTTAGGGTTTAGGGCCCCAGGCCGTGCGGTTTTGGGTCTAAGGCTCCAGAGTTTAGGGTTTATGGCTACGTAGCTTAAAACTCAAACAGCGGAGTTTTTGTTTTGGGCCGGTTCGAGTGGTAGAAGTCCTTAGGAGACTTGCGGATGTGGGGATGCGCATGGCCTAGGGCTTTACGAGCCTTTACATCATGTTCAGATGAGGTTTCGGCAAGTTTACTTGCTTCATGGAGACCAGGTGGAGGTGTTTGTAGGCTCGTTTATGTCGGGTAGGTATATGTGCTGGTATAGGTAAGGCAACTATACTTATTAAGCCCTAATAGGGGACTTATAAGTCTTATAAGCCCACTTATATTCACCCATGAACCTCCAAGTAGCCTTTGCCGTTTCATCCTGGAGGAGTCCTTTACGCAGCACTTCCGCTCGCTGCCTGTTCTCCTAGCTCGCAACAGCACGGGCATCCTGGGTGTCTTCGTTGCATCTATATGGTCGTGTCAGTGGCTACAGGAGTTTCCGCAAGGATTAAGGGCCACTGCTATCAAGGTAGATGAGACCTTTCTTTTGTCTTTTGCCTGGTAGCCTGTGTGCTCAGCCCCTTGCTACACTGATAAGATGATTCCATGCCAGGCTTCTACAGTGGTGCAGTGATGGGCCATGATCATGACGCTGACCTCCGGAGCTACTCCGTGTATCACAACCTTTTCATAGAGCATGCCGGCGCCCTAGTGTGAGATTGCTCCGCGCAGAGCATCTGTGTTTATCGAAGAGTCTACACCTCAATGATTTTAGGTACATGGGCCTTGTTGTAAACGCCTGAACGAAACACAGTGTCAGCCTTCTTCAGGTGAAGCACGGCTTTGAGCAAGGCTGGGGTGCGAACCGTCGGCCGTTGGGGTTCGGGGTTTTAGGCTTTACGCTTTACGGCGTAGGGTTAGAGGCTTCGTGCTCACCAGGTCTCCGATTCTATCACCAAGCCTTAGTCTGATTACCAAGGCCCTTGCATGACATCGTCCTACACCTTAAAGCCTTAGGCCCCCAACTCTACTTGGAGGTTCATTGGTAGTTATAAGTGGTGTTACAAGTCCCCTAATAGGGGTTGTAAGTATAGTTGCCGTACTTATATCCCACTTACACCTACCCATGAAGCTCCAAGTATACCTCTCAAGCCCTAAGCCCTAAACCCTAAACCTTTAAAGCCCCAAAGTCGCAAGCCAGGGGAGGAGATGATCGACCTGGGCAACGCTGGTGACGACTTCAAGCATGAGCTGGGTGCGCAGGCCCAAACGGTCTGCCAAACTCCCCTAATCCCGAAGGCCCTGAGCGGTAAAGCCCGAAAAGGCCATAACCGCCGGAAGCATCTGGGGTTTCAGCGTTTAGGGGTTTAGGGGTTAAGGGCTTTGGAGTTTAGGGTTTAGGGGCTTAGGCATCTGGGGTTTCAGGGCTTCCGGTTTCGGGTTTGGGGATGTAGGGGTTTCAGCAGTTTAGAAATGTAGTAGGGTTTTTGGGTAGTAGGCGTTGACAGAGAGAGTCATTCAGGTAATGTCCGATGCAGGATTCCAAAATCCTGGAGCCCCCAAACTTTTGCTGCAACACCCCTAAACCCCAAACCCTGAACCCTAAACCCTACACCCTAAACCCCTAAGACCTTAAACTCTTCAAAAACCCTTAGCCTCAAGTCTCCAAGCCCCCTAAAACCCTGAACCTAAACACCCTGAACACCCCTAAACAAGCCCCACACCAAGATCCCTTGCGTCAAAACCTCAAGCCCCAAAGCCTTAAACCTTAAGCCCCAATCCTTAAACCTTGAAACCCCAAATCCCTAAACCCGAAACTTGAACCCCAAATCCCTAAACCCTAAACCCTCAACCCTAAACCCAGAGCAAGGCCTTTCGGCTGGTCTTCAGCCTCCGGTCAGTTTGGAGCCTCCGTGGGGCCTTGGGCATCACGCTCTGGGCGTCGAACAGCTGGCTCCAGGCCCGGAGATGCGTCCAGTTTTAAGGGTGATAGGGGTGTCGGGTTTAGGGGTTTAAGGGTTTATGGGTTTAGGCTTTAGGGTTTAGGGTTCAGGGGTTTCAGGGTTTAGGGGTTTAAGGGTTTATGGGTTTACGGTTTAGGGTTTATGGTTTAGGGTTTAGGGTTTAGGGGTTTCAGGGTTTATGGGTTTAGGGTTTAGGGTTCAGGGGTTTAAGGGTTCAGGGGTTTAAGGGTTTATGGGTTTAGGGTTTAGGGTTTATGGGTTTAGGGTTTAGGGTTTAGGGGTTTAAGGGTTTATGGGTTTAGGCTTTAGGGTTCAGGGGTTTAAAGGTTTATGGGTTTATGGGTTTAGGGTTTAGGGGCCTAGGGTTGGACGGTGCAAGGCGAGCGCAGCACAGCGCAGCCCAGGGCGGGGGCGGGTAATGGTGAAGAGGGTTTATAGTTTTCACCTATACAGACAAGGCGTGGCGGTTTGGCGGGTAGCACTAACCACAACATTGAATGGGCCTTTGGCTTTGCATCACGGACGCATTGGCTTCAAGGTGCCTAGCTCTCTGAAAGCCTTCTAATGAAATATAAGAATGTTATATATGGTACAATAGAATACAATTTGATATGATCCAGTGTGATAGGAAAGAGTATCATTCTGCCAGCCCTGTGTCAAGCGAGGTCTTGCTACGCGCACGGGAGTGGCCTCTATGGGCACAGGCCGCAGTCGCGGCCTGAGTTAAATGCAGGAGAAGGTGCATCCGGAAACGACCAGGTGACTAGGCCCTCTCCCTGCGGATGCTGCGCATGGGGTAGCCATTCTGCGCTGAGGTCTTGCTACTGGTCGGATTCTTGCTTTGGTGCCGCCTCTCCCGTTGGCTCGACACGTTCAATGCCATGATGTGAGGGCAAGGATGAAACTGCGACTTTCGGCTTCCGGCACGATGTCCAACATTCCCGGAGCAGCTGCGAGGCACTGCGAGGCCCTGCGTCGCGGTCGGAGGCCCCCCGGACTTCGGCCTGTGCCTCTTGGGAGCCTCGGCCGCCACTCCCAGGGCTTCGAGTCTGGGCTGTGATGTCCCTGGACGAAGGCTTAAAAAGGCACACGTCTTCGAGATCTTGCGCGCTTCAGAGAGAAAAGAAGGGCCTCGTTGAAGAAATGCGGCCCAAGTTCACAGAAGTCCTTGGCACTTCAGGGGTCCCAAACTGGTGTAGGACAGCGCTTCTTGTTGCTCATATTCAGAAAAGCCAGCATATCTCCGCGACCAAGGGCAACAAGATCATGATCTGTCGAACACAGTCACTGCATATCATATATTTTAATATCAGATTTAGAGCAAGGTCTCTATTTTAGACCGGGGGGAAAAAGAGATACCTGGCATGAGTTTTGCAACTGCCGGGGCAGAGGGTATGCCAGGGAAGAGGCCGAACGACCGAAGCTAAAAGCCTCCGTTAAAGGGAACTCCAGAAAGTTGGAATATGGATTAATGGTAGGATCCCCTTGCCTTAAAGGGGTCACGATAATGATATTCCAACTTTCTGGCTTCTACTGTAGTGTGCCCTGAAACCTGAAATCGACATCCCCGATGTCCTCACTGCTCGTGCACACAACGCCCAAGTTCAAAGTCGGGCCCAAACTTCTTGATTTTTCTCCTGGCAGATTCTGGCAGTATCACTTTCAACAAAGCGCTATCCTAATCCTAAGCTCTACACCTTCCTAAATTTCGTCTTAAAGCCATCTTAAACCCTATAAAGCCCCAAGCTCAAACCGCAAAACCCTATGAAACCTTATAGCTCTCAGGTTCGGGACTTTTGGTCCCCGCTGGCATCCACGAAAGCCCGCAAGCAGGCTGTTGTCTGTTCCGAGCCTTAAGAAGTCGACTAGACTTCAGATCTATACTACAACTTGCCATAAGAGTATAGTAAGGACCCTAAACCCTAAACCGTTTCTAGTCTTACTAAGGTTCCGAGCTCTAAGGCGGCTTCTGCCATTTTGAGGTACGGACGTTGAGTCTTTTCTTTATTGTTTCTTATATGTCGGGTATTGGATTCGGTGTAGACCCGTCTTGCTTAAGCTGAAAGGAGAAAGTGTTCGAACTTATCATATGGCGTCGTGATTCTGAGACCGACATACTCTAAGTATCCTTCAGCCGCCTGGAGCTCCAAAACCTTCCGAAGCTTGTGGACGATTTGAGATGTAGTTCCGATGGCTGTTGAGCAAGCCATGTAGCCTCCGGAATGCCTTTGCGAAAACTGTTGTCCAAGCAATTATCCGGCCCCTAGAACCCCAAATCCTCACGCCCTAAAGATAAACCTCGAATGAGGGTTTCTGTGAAAGGCCGCCGTGTTTCATAGCCAGGGACCCATCTACGGACCTTGTCCCCTAAGCCCTCCACCCGAAACCATTCACCTGCGACCCTGAAAGCCTGAAACCCAAAACCCCAAACCGGAAGCATCCGCCCATAAGCCTTAAACCCTACATCCGTTCAGCAACGCAAGCATCTAAGCTCAGGCTAGACCCTTAACCCTGACCCAAGAGTTCCTACAGCCTGAGCCCTGGACCGCAAAGCTTGAGAGCCACGTGCAGGTGATGAAGCGGCGAGCAGATGCGGCCCAGCTTTAGCTTTCAGAGCCTGCGGAGTGGTTGACAGCTGGCAAGATACGGGGACTCTGCAGATCCTTTATGGAAACCTCTGAGGGGCAGCTAAAAACCTGAACATGTAGGGCACTTCATAACTAGAGTTGGGTTTGGGGGTATGTTGCAGTATGATAGCATGAATATGATAAGGAACCTTGAGAAATACTATTACTACTGGGTTTGGTGGTATAATACACAAGGAACACTAAGAGAGCCTGGTCTAAGAATTCAGGCTCCTACATGTCCTCACCGAATCCCAAATCGGCAAGCCGAAGGCTTAGGGTATAGCGACTTTGGTGTTAAGGGTTTGGGTTTCAGGCTTTAGGGCGTGAAGGGTTCAGGCTCTAAGGTTTAGGGAGTTGAAGGTTTTTAGGGTGCAGAAGCGCCAAGAAGGGAATCGGAGCGAGCACTGTTGCCGGTTCTCGCATGTATATTCATGCTGGTACTGCTCCTATACGCCAATGCCACGGGGCACTACGACCAAAACAGGAAACAGAATAAGCGCAGAGCCACCCATTCAAAACCTCAAAACTCAAGGTGGAGCTTGTGGTGGGCCTTGTCATGCTGACAGGGGTGCCTAGCTCAGGATGCTGGCTCCAGGACTCAAGATGTGCCATAGAGGTCGGAATCATGAGTAGTCGTGGGGATCCAGCAACAGTCGGCAAACATTCACCGAAACCCTCTTCCAACTCTTCAGATCCCTCGAAGATCAGCACCATGATTGTCAACATCATGAGGGAGCATGCTTTTGGATGTGAGGCTGTAGCTGTTGGCCGGATTTGCGGGGCTGACTGCCAAGTGAGGCTATGCTCCTGCGATCTGCCCAATGTTTGTGTTCTGATGGGCTTGGGGTCTAGGGTCAGGGTTCAGGGTTCGGGGTTTCGGGTTTAGGGTCAGGGTTCGTGGTACAATAGTCGTAGTAGAAGTATTGCAGAAATGAGTTGATAAACTAAGCAGTGCTCACCATTGTGGCAAATGGTGTCAGTCACTACTGCGAAATGCTTTGGCTCAGGTTGTTCATTTCAGGAGACTAACCGATGATTGGGAAAGCACCGGTGTTCTTGTGCATGTTGTGTTGTCGAACTTGATGCTAAGGGCTGATTTTGGAGCCTTAATTACTAGAATAGGGTTTTGGGGCCCATCATATTGTAACCATAATAAAGAACCCCCCCAAAAAAAAATCGTATAGGTAAGCCTTAAACGGAACCCTCATTATAGAAAGCTTTAAAGGGACCCCCTACAGTACAGAAGTTCGACACCAGCAGGATTCCTGCACTCGGGAGAGGAGGCTTCGTCCGGGCCGGTCCTCCTTTACATAATATAGGGGCTTAAATAATTACCAATACCTTTTTGGAGAGTCCCTATGATAATTACAATATAATGGACCCAAAACGCTATTCCAATTATTGGAGCCCCTACAGTAGATCGTCTGGCACCCAGCCACACTTAGCCCCACGCTATCTAACCCCCAAATCCTCAAAGTGCGAACAGTGATTGTGAGGTCTTTCTGTTCGTTTGTGCGCCGATTACGGTCATCCTCTTCTGGAATTTCATGATGATGAGGCCGGGTCTCATAGCCAGATTTTGCCCTTCTGCTGCTGTGGTCCACACCTTACAACGAATAACCAGCTGGCGCGCGAACTCAGAAACCCAAAGCCCATGCTTCGGTACTAATGGTGCAGGCTTCTACAAGCCGCATTTCATTGACTGCCGAATCTCGAAAGCCTAAACCCTAAACCCTAAGGCTTCCTCGAAGGATTGTACCCTGCCAGGTATATGATGAGCACCTGGACCCAGGAGGGGAAGGGTGAAACGCACCTGCATTGCGTGGGTGCTGGTTAAGGAGTACTATGCTTTCCTTATTATGGTAGCTTAAATAGTTACCTTCGTTAAACAATGGCCCAGTTATTGACAGTGGCAATGGCACCATGGCATCATATGGCACCGGAAGTGGTATTGAGGCATTTGGATGATGGCGGAGGCAAGAGTTCGGAGATTCGACGACCACGACGAGGTCGACGGACGACGATAAGGCGGAGGAGGAGGAGGAAGAGGCGGTGGAGGCGGAAGGGAGTAACGGCTAGTACCAGGTCATGATTTCAAGGGTGGTGTCAATAAGCACGACGACAAGCAAGTTCATGATAGAGCAGGACTCGTTCCAAAGGCTGGACGGGTTGTTGAGCCCGGTGCTTACCAGCGTGCCGGAGGCTTAGCACGAGCAGTGTTTGGGTGAGTTTGGCTTGGGCATGGCTTCACTGACACGACAGACTTCGTACCAGATGCGACCTGCCAGGTACACCCCGCATGCTTTCCCATCTAAGCCCCACGTACCTCACACCCCTAAACCTCAAAGCCCTCGAACCTCAAGCCCCCTAAACCTGTAAACCCTCAACCAACAACCCTAAGCCCCCAATATAGAAGCCTGTCAATTGCCACCATGATTACTGTCTAGGCTTTCGTGGCAGAAGCTGCAACACATGTACCCCGGAATTGTATTCTAAGTACGAACGGTCCCATACTAGACCCTACCCCCCTCGTGAAGGAGCCCTTTAAAGGAGCCCTTAAAGGAGCTTTTTATGGGAGCCCTTTAAAGCAGCTCTAAAAGAATCCAAACGCCGCGCGCCTAGGCCTGGCGTGAAGCAGGCCTATCAGGCCGTTGGGTGAAGGGAGGGTTTAGAGTTCAAGCCATAACCGTCGGAAGCATCTGGGGTTTCAGGGTTTAGGGTTTTTGGGTTTAGGGTTTAGGAGTTTAGGGTTCAGGGTTTACTGTAGGGGTTTAGGGATTTAGGGTTTAGGGGTTTAGGCAGGGACTGAAGATGTTTGTTTCTGTAGGCTTTGTAGATGCCTTTGGATAGATATACGGGCTTTAAAGTGGAGTCTTGTATTTTGATAGGTTGAAATACGGCTCCCAAGGTGGAGCGTTATATGAGAGAATGTTAAGAGTCGTTATTGGGCAATAAGGGACCTCGCAGCCTAGCATCCGAACTCTACATTGTGGTGTTTTGAATCTCCGCCCACTCCAGCCCACTTGGAAAACACAAGGATATGGGGTCCTATAGGGTTTGGGATTTAGGGTTCAGGATGTTTAAGGTTTCAGGTTCTGATCAGGGGTTCAGGGTGTAACGTGCTTCTTGGTGCTATGGCTGTGGGGGGTTACGAAAGAGCCTGCCTCAAGCCTATGACACATGATTCCGAACCCTCTAGGGCCTGAGCGAGGGATCAGAAGACTTTTAAACCCTAAACCCTAAGCCCTTAAACCCAGAATCCC